GCAGTGGAGCAGAAGCACCAGGACTTGGTCTTTCTGATGCAGCAGTACCAGGCAGTGATGGGCAAGGTACCGCTGCTGGGCACAATAGCCACAGGCCAGGCTGCATGAGTCCTCTGCCCTTGGCCATGTGCCCCCCCCAGTCATCCCATCACGGTCTAGGCACCATACCTGCCCAACAGCTCTGCCTGTGCAAACAGCTGGTGACCAGCTCCAGAGGTAGGCAGGGGATGTTCTGCCAGCCACACGTGGGACAAGGATTTAGCACCGCACCCTATATGGAGCAGCCCAGCAGCCCAGACACGGGGCAGGCATGGCTGGCATGGCCGGCATGGCCCTGTCCACCCAGCTGAGCAGAGCTGGAAGACTGCAGCCCCCAATGGCCCCACTGACACTTTGGGCACCATCCCAGGGCTGGTGGCACTGCTGCAGCCTGGAGTCTCACCAGCGAGCTGGGCTCACCACTCTCCTCACGTGCCCGTGCCCTGTCACAGGTCAGGGACCACGGGGATGCTTTTCCAGGGCTGCTGGGTGTCCAGCAGACACTGCCGCAACAGGGAGGGCAGTGTGGGGGCTGCACAGGGATGAGAGGGCCAGAAGCCAGCAGCCGTCCTGCCTCCCACCTGGTGCGGGCCACATCCCTCTGCCACAGGCCCTCCCCAACAGCCCATTGCCCAAACTAGCTGCTTCTCCAGTCCCAGCCTCTCCACAGCAGGGGCACTGGGAGGTCCAGGGGGTCCCGCACCCTGCTGGGTACCCACAGGCCAGTGATGCTTCTCTCCACAGGACCAGAAGGATGAGGTGGTGCAGACAGAGGCCACCTCCTACGCGGTCGCCCACAGCCATTCTGACACCAGCTACAATACCCTGAAGGAGCGCACAGAGCTGCTTGAGCAGGTCAGTGCTGGCAGCCCAGCAGCCACAGCACCAGGGCCAGGCGGGAGCCGGCAGACAGCACATGGCTGTGCTGCTCACACAGGTGGTGATAGAGGCAGAGACAATGCACTGCAGGCAGAGGTGGGCAGCGGAGGAGTGCCGGTACCGGGCACAGGACACACAGCTGGGGAGGGCGGCTGAGCAAAGCAGTGATGACGAAGGTGGGGTGGGCGAGGAGGCAGGCATCCAGGGCCACAGGACTGGGACATGTGAGAGCTGGAGCCTGCAGCCAGCACCCTGGGGTTCCACACTCTTGGTGGCTCCAGCAGGGAGCCCAGGGCCAGCCAGAGCTGGAGCCCATGGCTTACCCTGATGGCAGAGAGCAGCAGCAAGGAGGCATCCGACACCCATAAAGGTCAGTGCACACACGGCTGGAGGATGAGGCAAGAAAGCACCCCAGGAGGCAGAAGGCAGTGCCTCGTCATCAGTTACTGCATGTCCACGCACTACAGCAGCACTCAGTCCATCCTGGTGCAACAATGGGGAAATGGCAAGACCTTGCGGGCACCACAGGCTGCCTGTGCTTTTGGGGCATCACTAGCTGCAGAGTTACAGGGCAGACAGTGTTTCCCTGTGCGGTTCTGGGAAGGTGGAGAAGCAGCTCCTCGAGCCTGGGGGGAAGCAGCCAGAGAGGCATAGGAGCCACGAGAGCAAGTGTTCCAAAACCACGCTGCAGGGCTGAGCCCTGCTCTGCTTCCCACAGAAGCCCTGTGACAGGGTGGGGGGAGGCAATGCCAGCCTGCCCCCACTGTCTCAAGCAGCCCAGGCACCGGCACAGCAGCTGCCAGCCCTGAACATCCTGCAGCACACAGAGGAGCAGCCATGCCTCTGCTTGGGGAAGGGCATGCAGCACGAGGCCAGCTGCGAGGTGGAGGCTGAGCTGCAAGCACTGCAGAAGCAAGCACTGTGGAAGCAAGCAGCCAGCAGCAAGGCTGAGCAGGCACAGAGCAGGTAGGCAAGCCCTGAGGCTGGCTGTCCCCGGCACAGCAAGAGCCCAACCAGGGTTCTGCCTGCACCCACTCCATCAAGGGAGGGCAGCTTGAGGCTGCCATAGCTCAGACTATGCCCTTGGCCCCAGGGAGCTGGCAGCGCGGCTCCAGGCAGAGCTGACCCAGTGGCAGTGGAAACAGCAGGTGACCCTGGAGCAGGCACTGCAACAGATGCACGCTGCGGCCCATGCCGAAGAGAAGCTGCAGAGGAGCCAAGAACAGCTCCAAGCCCTGAGGGAGCAGGTAGGTAGCAGGCAAGACCTGCTATGGGGTCCCTCCGACAGCCTGGCCCCAGCCTCCCCTGCCCCCGTGGACAACCCAGGGCCTGCCCAGTGCCAGCAACAGGCTACCACGCCATGGGAGCTGTGCTGTCAGCAGGACCCGAAGGACAAGCTCTAGCAAGAGCTGCAGCAGGCAAAGGAGTGGACGAGCACCCTCAAGAGAGAGAATAAAGCCCTGCAGCAAAGCCTGTGCTGCAGGAGTGGGCAGTGAGCTGGGATCGGCAGTAAGAGAGAGGGCTCACTCTGGCAGGAAGCAGCACTAGCACAGCAATGCAGCACCCACTAACGCATTGCCTTGTCTGCAGCTGGGGGCACAGGAGGAGCAGAGCCAGGGTCTGTGGCACAACCTGACTCGGCTGCAGGAGGAGCTGGCAGCCACCCAGGCCCGGGAGCAGCGAAGTCTGCAGCAGCTTAGTGGAGCCAGGGAGACCATCCAAGACCTGCAGCAAGAAGTGGCCTCTAACAGAAAGCACATGGCAGAGCTGCTGCAACAGGTGAGGCCAGGGACAGGACAGCCCCAAGAAGCAACCAGCCACCATGCAGCCCTTGGTGCCAGAGCAGCAAAGTGCTGCAGAGAGCCCTTTCCTGCTTCTGGGCAGCACTAGTCCCTGGGGGGAGCCCCAGCCTGCCCAACCACCCTCCTTGCCCCACAATTTTGCATGCAGGTGCAGGACATGGCCACCCTGCAGACAGAGCTGGCCCAAGCCCAGCAAGAGAAAGCCAAGCAGGAGGAGAAGATTGCAGCCTACGAGGAACAGAGGCAGCAGCTCCACCGGGAGCTGAGGAAGCTGCAGGGGTCCCAGGAGCAGAGCAAGCAGGAGGTAAGCATGTCCCAAGCCTTCCCACAGGGCACCGGGATTCCGTGCTTAGCCCGACTCTCTCTGTCACTGCCTCTCTGTGCCACCAGCAGGCCCACTCCCTCCAGGAGAGGCTGCAGGAGCTGAGCAGCGGAGCCCAACACTGGCAGCAACTACACCAGGACAGCGAGCGAGCTCTGGCTATGCGAGAAGAGGAGCTGGTTGTTTGCAAGGTGGAGCTGGCTTTCCTCAAGGAAGAGCTCAGCAAGGCCATGGAGCAGGTGCAGGATAGAAACAGGCAGCACCACAGCCCAAGGGCAGGAGTGCAGGCTGGGCCCCTAGCAGCAGGGAACGACAGATCCTGGCCCACAGGCAGGGCAGAGGTGGAGAGGATAGGACAGGGGAGAAGGATGCGGGTCTGCAGCAGCAGGGCTGAACATCTTGTTCTCCTTAAACTAGCCCTCTTGGCTCCCTTACTATAAAGAAGTCCCTCAGCATTAAACTACCATGTTATGACAGAAGTTCACGTCCAGTAGTGCTGAGGTACCGGTTCTTCTCCAGAGCAGCTCTCCCGAGACACCGGCATCTCCAGACCCTCCACTCAGCCCCAAAGGCTGCTGGCCCAGCACAGGTTTCTCCAACTGCCTTCAGCCCCAAGCACACAGAGGCTGGGAAAGACCAGTTAGATGCTGGTTCACGCGTGGCACGGGCGGGTCATTCTTTCCAGGTGGAAACCCTGCGCTCTTCCCATGCTCTGGCATGCTCTGACTGCAGCAGGCCACACAAGGAGAGGGAGCTGGTGCTGGTCAACGTCAGCCAGTGTGTGAAGGAGCAGATGTGAGTGAGAAGCCTTACTGGAGTAGAGGGGGGCAGGTGGCTGCCTTCTCCTCACACCAACTCACACCTTGTTTTCAGGCAGTCAAATGAAAAACTAGAGCACAAGATCCAGCAGCAAATCAAGCAGACCACAGAGCTGACAGGCAAGAGCGAGTAAGTGGTGAACATGGGGAGCGGGGCTGAGCTCTCCGCACACAGCAGTTACTGCTGCCGGTAGGGGTGTATGGGACAAATGGACAACTGCTGGACTAGCCAAGCTCCTGCAAGGCCAGCAGATCAGGATTGTCTCTGCACCATTGCATCACCTCATCTCCCCTGCCTTTCCTCCAGGCATCTTCAAGACACACTGGGCAGGATGCAGGAGGAAAACACATACCTCACAGTCAGAACACATGAGCAGCAGCACCACAAGTGTGAACAACTGAAGGTGAGCAGAATTCCTGGCACAGCCTGGCCTGAAACAGGGCTGGGCCTATGGTCTTGTGTGTACAGGGACAGTTGGGCACCAGCTGCCTGCCCAGGGCACGGGCTGTGGGAGAACTGCCTTTGCAGTAGTATGGGCCAGGGCTGTGGCAGGGCCAGGTTGTCTTTGCCCTCTAGGTCAGTGTACCTGTGCCTCGTCCCAGGCTCTACAAGGCAACAACATGACAGTACCAGCCCTGCGCAGTTCTGCGGGGCTGCCTCCACCCAGCACTCGCCTCCAGGACAAGAAGCAGCGCAAAACAAAGCAAGGATTAGACTGACAACCTTTAAACAAATAAAATTCTTTCTGTTCTGTAGCAAAATTAGTGCCAAGCACCAAAGCCTTCCTGGGCCACAAGCTGCAGAGAGCCTCACAGAGTACAGTGATCAGAGGAGCTGGGCAGTTTCCTAAGACTCAGCTGCTCCTGGAAGTCTTTAAGCCTCAAAGCAACGGCAATGCCTTCTTAGAGGCCAAAGCGGGCTGGGGTGCGTCGTGGCGTCAAGGGCTCCCCCTGTTCCTTCCGCCCAGGGGTGTAGATTTTAGTAGATCTGCCAGGAGAGGACAAGGGTGGTTAGTGGAAAATGCAACCATTCCCTGCACCAGAACACCCATGGGGAAGTCGGGATCGTCCACGCAGCTCACTACTACTGCTCTTAAGCAGGCCAGGCAGGGCCGCCACCCACCTTGCACTGCCCAGTGGGTTACGGCGTTCCTGCTCCTGCCGGCGGGCACGCAGCTGCTCCTCAGCCAAAGCCATCTCTTCCTCCATGGCAGACACTTCCTCTTTGGCACGGCGGCGGTTCTCCTGGAGCAAGGCAGCAGCAGGTCAGGGACAGGCAGAGGGCTGGCCAGCAGCAGACTCTCTGCAGGCCCACAGGCCTGTTCCCCTCCATGTCAAAAAACACACACAGACACACACACGCACAGACACACACACGCACAGACACACACACGCACAGAGCATTAAACAGGCATGCAGCCTGCTGTCTGCCAGCTTGTCCTCGACAGGAGACTCACCTGGCGTGACTTGCCAGCATGTTTGATACTGTAGAACATGGGGCCCAGCTCTGCCAGCCACTCTCCATCCACTGCAGTGACACACTGCATGTATTCCTGCAGGGACAGAAGGAAAGACCAGGGTAGCAGGATGGCACTCTCAGCGCCTGGGCACCATTTCCAGAGCCATGGCAGCTCCCTCCCTCCCCAACTTGCTGATGGCACTTCTCAGGCTGGGACTGAGAATTGCTTCCAGACAATTCCTCCTGGCCTCAGAAGCTGCTATGGGCTGGACTTGGTGAGACTGCAAAGAGGTTCAAACATATCCCACATAGGCCAGGAAAAAATATTGGGAAAGTGACAAACAGGACTCTGCAGATGACACAGACATGCCTAGTTGGTACAGATGAGATATGCTGAGAACTGCCCTTCTGATAGATCCTAGTATCGCAGCAAAGCCCTTCCATCTCCCTCAGACCATTCCTCACCCTTCTTGCTAGCCCTCAGCTCAAGCTCACCTTGGTGGTCATGACCAACTCATGATACACAATGTAGTCTGGTGTGTAGCCCATGCCAAACAGAGAGCTCGTGGGGTGCAGGTGGCAGGGCATGCCTGTGCGGATGTTCACATACTCCCCAATGCCCTGCAAAGAGAAGTGTGGTTAGCCCACCTGTTCCCAGACAGGGCCTCTCAGCCCCTAGACTAGCACAGACATCTCTCACCTTCAGCTTTGCAGCTTGATGGAAATACGCAGCACAGATGCACTTCCTGACAACATCCCAGTCAGTACCACAGGATGCTAGGCTCATCCGCTGCTGCACCATAATGTCTTTGAGCTGGGCACGCACCTCCCGCACCTGCAAAGGGGTTTGGCAGTTGGATCCCTCTCCTGCGTAAGGCTCCCTCCCCCAGCCTCATTGCCACAGCCTCACCTTGCGCATGGCCTTGGCATGGATGAAGTGCTGGTTGCACCACAGTGTAGAATAGCTGTTGTTTTTCCACTGCAGGTAAACATTCAGATAAGTCAAGTGATCACTCTCTGGAACAGCAAATTTTTCCCGCACTTGGTCACTCTCCTCCTCTCGGCCCTGAAGGGTGAGCAAAAGAACACAGGTTAGTCAAAGGGCAGAGGAAGACCCCAAACTGCTGAAAGAGCAAACAGGTACCTTAGGCCGATAAAAGATGGCAGGCACAGACAACATGGAGACAATGAGCAAGATCTCAGAGCTGCAACCCATGTCGCAGGAGACAATGAGCATTTTGGAGAGTGCAGGATCCAGTGGGAACTCCACCATGAGACGTCCTGTTGAGGTCAGACCACCTGTAGGAACAGCATAGGGATCAGCAGCTGGGCAGGTCCCAGTCCCATAGGCTGACAGCTTGCCCCAGTAGCCAATACCTGTGTTATCCAGGGCCCCCAGGATCCACAGCTGGTACATGGAGTTCAGCATGTTGTCCTCAGGGGGCGGATCCATGAAGTGGAACTGCAGCAGGTCCTGCACACCCAGGGACTTGAGCAAAAGCACTACATTGGCAAGGTTGGTGCGCTGGATCTCGGGCACCGTGGTTGTCAGCAGCTCATTCTTGTAGGCACTCTGGGTGTAGAGCCTGGGGAACAGATGCCAAGAGCATGCTCCTCCCGTTCAGGCCACTGTGCTCCTTACTGACTCACCAGCTGTTGCCCAACCCAGCCAGGCACGACACGGGGCAGCAACTCTGCACTCAGCCAGACCAGCCAGCAGGACCCCAGGGAGGAACCTCTACCCTGGCCAAAGTGTGGCCTCCCCAGCACATAAGGGTGCCTGGGCTGCAGTACAGTGTACACCCCTCTCAAGCACAGTCCTTCCCTGGGCGGAGACCAGTCTCAAAGCAAAGCCCTGAGAAAGCTGCCTTTGGCTTGGCTGCTTTCCTGACAGCATCAAGGGTGGAACAGCCACAAGTGCAGATGGGCAAGGGAAGAAACTGGAGCACATCCTTTCCTCTGCAGAGGCACTCAGTCCAAAAGAGAAGGCCTCAAGGCCTGCCTACTGCCCTCATCCCCCCAGAAGTTCAAGACAATGAACAGCTCCAGTAAGAAAAAAATACGCATAACCTGATGCCAAGCTACAGATAGGACAGGAACAGGAACACCAGTGACATGCCTACCTGAAGCAGTGGCCTGGGCCTGTTCGGCCAGCTCGGCCTGCCCTCTGATTGGCATTGGCTTGACTGATGGGGTATATCTGCAGCGCATCCATGCCTATACGGGGGTTGAAAACCTGCAGGGCACAAGAACAACAGTCTGAAGTAACAGGAAGGCTGGGTGGACTACCACAGAATTCCTTCAACCCAACCCCAGAGATCACAGACATAAACAGTACAGGACATCTTGGCTTACCTTCAACTTGCAGTAGCCAGAATCAATCACAAACATAATGCCATCCACTGTCAGTGAGGTCTCTGCAATGTTAGTGGCAACAATGCACTTCCTGACCCCATCTGGAGCCTGCAAGCATACTGCACATCAGTCAAATCCCTGGACAAGGGCCTCTGCACCACTGAGGAAGAGTGCAGAGCAGCAATACAGAACCCAGAAGGACAGGGGTGACTTGGGAAGTTGAGGGGGGCACATGCTTTCTCTCACCCTCCACGTGTAATACAAAAGGCATGTCTGCGCCTCTCACTCATGCTCAGTAGTCTTCCCTGCACTAGTTTCCCCTGTCCCCTACTCCTATCACAGAGCACAGATCAGCACCTTCTGGAAGATCTTGGCCTGCAAGTCCGACGGTAGCTGAGAATAGATAGGCAGTACAGCAAGAGCAGGTGCCTTCTCCAGCTCCTCAAGGTGCTCCACAATTTGCTCTGAGGTCACCTAGACACAAAGAGGGGTGTAAACATAAGATTAAAACAACAAGGGGGTAGGACAGTGCCTGCCCTTCCAGCTCACCTCTATGTCCTCCTGGCCAGGCATGAAGACGAGGATGTCTCCAGGAGCACCAGATAAATGGACCTGCAAAGCTTGTTTCACTGCAGCCTCCACATAATCCTCTTGTGGGGTCTGAAAGGCACAGCCCAGGTTACAGACGCCAATGATCTCACCTGCCCTGTGTGCAAGACTGCATCGTAGCATGGCTACTCCTCCTCTATCCTTTCTGTCCACCACAGAGTACAGTACACCCAAGTCACAACCCCCTCCTGTTACAACAGAACTTCCTTCTGCAACGTTGACCATACCTTGCTGAAAAGAATATCAACAGGGAAAGTGCGCCCAGGAATGTGGAAAATAGGAACGTTCCCAAAGAAGGAGGCAAACTTATCTGCATCCATGGTGGCCGAGGTGACAACAAGCTTCAGATCTGAGCGTCGGGCCACCACCTAGAAAGCAGATGACAGGAACAATAAGGAAGGGGCATTTGCATATGGCTGCAGGCTGCTTCCATTATTACTGAGACAACAGCACAAGACAGAGCTTCTGCTGTACTCTAGAGGCACTGGCCACTAATGCCAGGGAAGGCAGATGCTATATGATCTGTGCAGTTAGAAAGACCTGCCAACCTCAGTCCAGGAAGCCTTAAGCCAGCAAAGATCTCTGTACCTAGAGTTTCTGACAGTTAGCCAGCAAGCCTCTGGCAGCACTTAGGCACTAAGGGAGATTTAACCCCCCAGAACCAGGGACCAGGATGTTGGAGCAGCAAGTGGAGACAGAGATGTGGCAGCTCTGCTTCCCTCTCCCCGACCTGGTAAAGAAGGGCTGTCCCTGCCAATACTCTGCTTTAAGACCAGCTCATGTGCCCTGTGCTGCTGTCTTCTAGTCCAGGCTCACACACACCTCCCGAAGCAGGCCAAAGAGCACATCAGTATTGAGTGAGCGCTCATGTGCCTCATCCATGATGATCGCACTGTAGTTGTCCAGGTCAGCCTCTCGCAGTGATTCACGAAGAAGGATCCCATCTGTCATGTATTTGATCACTGTGTTCTCAGACGTGCAGTCCTCAAAGCGGATGGCATAGCCCACCTGGGAGGACAGAGATACCAGCAAGTCTTCCAACAGCCCCATACACTCACTGTCATCAGGCTGCAGCCACTGCCACTCACCTCCTCTCCCAGACGCACCCCCATCTCCTCGCTGACCCGCTTCGCAACCGACATGGCTGCCACTCTGCGGGGCTGGGTGCAGCCAATCATGCCATAGTCTGTGTAGCCATCCTCATGGAGGTACTGTGTCAGCTGAGTCGTCTTCCCACTCCCCGTCTCCCCCACCACAATCACAATGCTGTTGTCTCTAAAGAAAGGGAAAAAGTAATTCTTCATACGCCACAAAGAATGGCCTTTGCATTCACAGCCCTGGCTGGCCACCTAAGCGTCATCCTACTCAGGCAGGAGAGCTGCCACCAACCACACAAAGCAATGGGCTTTGTTTCCTGAGGGTACAGCTTCCAAATAGGCCATGTATCTAGGAGAATTTCTCACTTGGGTTCCTGAGATTAGGCCAATGCCCTGGGGATGCTCTATGATCAGCTCCCTAGCAGCCCTACCTGAGGATGGAGAGCAGCTCCTGCTGCACAGCAAAGATGGGCAGATACTGTCTCTGCTCCAGGATTGATTTCTTCTTGGCAAACTCACTGCTGGCTTCACTTTTTTCTTTCATGTGTTCGGCAAACTTCTGCTCAGTCCTAAGTAAACACCAGAAGTCCTGAAACTGCCTCTCCACACACTTTGCTATGCCTGCAGCCCCCGTCACTGGCTGAGCAGGAGCAATTCAAAGCAAGCTCCCACCTGTAATCCACTTTGCCGTCTTCTGTCACCATCTCATCCTTCTCCTCCTCTTTCTTGATCCCCATAATGTCTCCCAGTTTTGTGCCTGCCAGCTCCCAGTGCTTATGCTGAGCCTGGAAGGACAGAGAGCAGCATAACTTTGCCACAGCAAGCACTGACAAATCATTCTTCTCCAATCCTACTCAGAGGACTAGAAAAGCGTATTAGCCCCACAATTCCCCAATGCTACAACACAGAACGCACACCCCATTCCTACATCAAGTCGCCCTCTTCCAAGTGAACTGGAGCAGAGCTTTTAGACACTGGTCTGGATACAGAGACTTCAGGCACAGGATGACCAACTGCCTCCTAAGAAAATGGTTCCAGCTGCTGACCCTTCCATTAAATTTGAACTTAAACCTACACAAATCTGAACCAGAGATAATCTTCCTGCTCTTGACAGGTGCTCACAGGCCTGTTTGCTCTCACCTCTGATATCAGTTTAGCTTCCACCTCCATTCCACTCATAGTATAGGTAGCTCAAATCCAGCTGTTTCAATTTACAAGGAACACATCTGTGCTTTCCCCAGAGCTATCACATAAGCTTTAGAGAAGTCCCTAGAAAACACCCCCAAAACCTAATATACTACCTTACTGCATGCTCCTCCTCACAACTCTTCTACTGAGACATGACAAGATATATCCTGCTGCCATACTGACTGTCCCTAAGCTACCTTGCATTCTTCCACCTGCTCTCTTCTCCCATGATCCGAATGTCCTTTGGATCAGACTCCTCTGCACAAGTGCCCAGTGATTCATGTCCCAGGCAGTGCCTGAGAGAATCACACCACAGCAGCTGCTTATGAGACAATGCAATGAGTGGGCTGCCAGGATACCCCAGGTCATAAAAATATGAACTCCTTATCATCATTGCCGCCAAAGCCTGTATTCTGCAAATTCCAAACAAAGGCTGTGAGGCACTACATAACATGTACAGTGGGGTAGTAAGCCAAAAAGTCACAGCATACCCTCTTACGCTCCTTTTGCTCCCTGTGCTTGCGCACCAGTTGGCTGCCTTTCCGGGCTATGATGGCCAAATCTGAGGTGGCATCCTTGACAGGGATGACTGGCTCTGGCTAGAAGAGAGAGGTATTGCTTCAGTACAGAGAGCTCACACTAGTGGGGCTCGTGCCATCAGTGCCTTCAGCCACAGTCTCTACCTGCTTGGTGAAGACAATCCTTCCATCTAGGAAAGGGGGCACTAGGTTGTGCACCAACAGATGCACTTTAGCAGAGTTATCCTCCTCAAAATCTTCGTCCACTTCAATCCGATGAACCACACCACTGGTCAGCATGCGATTCGTCTCCCAGCGCTCATTATCCTGCAGGAAACAACGTATCAGAAAATACACAGAAGCCCCACAGAAAGCCCAAGAGATCACACCAGAACACTGAGTTCAGGTCTGGGCCCCGCACTGACAATAGGATGAACTGACGGTTTCAGCCTAGGGAACCTGAAAGTAAGCATGAGAGAAGAAACAGTAACCGGAAGCAGCAGGGTACGGGAAACACAGACTGGCCGTACGAAGCACATGATCAACAGGACTGTCTCCAAGGAAATGCAGGACAGACATTGTCCACAAGGCCCCTGCCATACTCGGAATACACCCAGAAGCCTGGACATAATCCCACTCATGTGCAGCGGGCAGCGTCCCAGCCCCCAGTATCCACTGGGCCAACAGTACAGAGCCCTAGTAATGTAACTCACACCCCAGAATAGGAGGAGCATAGCCCTCTGCATTCCTCCTGCCCTGGACACTGCGATCCACCACAGTCACTCTGATTGCGAATTCTGTCCCACGCAGGAGATGCAGGGCTGCACTTTCTGGGGGAACGTAACAATAGTTTCTCTGTGAGCCCTCGTTCAGTCTGGGCCAGGACACAGACTGTCCTGTGAGCAAGGGCTCAGCCTTTGCTGCCAGCAAGCGGGTCTCTCAAGGGGCAGCAAAACCAGCAGTGCTCACACATTCAGAGCAGCTGACCTCACATCTCGCCCCTACCTCATTGATC